TAATTTTCTGGTAAGCTGATATCTCGAGGATTTCTGAACAAAAAGCTTCCAATCGTTTCTATTGCAAAAAAACGCATTCTACTTTTTCAGAAATAGTTTGTTAGTTATTAATAGAAATATACATTTTAACATCAAAAGTCTTAACAATATTACTAATTTATCAAATTAATTGTTCAGACTGCAATTCAATTTATATCGCAGAACCAAATAAAAAATCCTAGACAATTCAAAACTATGCTTACAGAACACATTAATACTTCAAATCACAATATAGATTTTTTTAAACCTCTCGTCTACATTTTGAAGCAAATTCAAACAAAAGACGAATTTGCGAAATGATAATATGCATATGTTTATTATGAATTACCTTATCATTTCATTTTTAAGTTTTGTTTAAATAAATTCCAAATCTATAGATTACACTTAGACGGACGTCCACGTTTTCGGGTGCACGGATCAACCGATTTCAATAGTTCATTTCCTATTCGACTTCTTTTGATTGGTAGATGTGCTGATTAGTTTTGGACAAAGGCAGGTTTACCCGTTTTGGAGATACGAAATAAAAATTGAGCTTTTGAGAGAACGGAGCATTCGATTTGGATGATTTACAAAACTTTCTGCTTGTTTTGACGAAATGGTCGTTTTTGGGGAAAGATTTTTTTTTTAATTTCCAAAATATTTTTTTTTTTGAGTATTGAAAAATAGTTTGTATTTCAATTTTAATTCTTTTTAAAACACGCATTCTACTTTTTCAGAAGTAGTTTGTTAGTTGTGCAATTAATATTTTTATGAAATTTAATACTTTCATATATATATAAACATGTTTTTAATACCACCTGTTACAGGCCTATAATATTTTTAACTAATCCTGTTTTGTTAAAAAGGCATTTTAGCATCAAAGGTCTTAGAAATCTTTATCAAATTAATTGTTCAGACTGCAATTCAATTTATATCGGAGAACCAAATAAAAAATCCAAGACTATTCAAAACTATGCTTACAGAACACATTAACACTTCAAATCACAATATAGATTTTTTAAACGCCTCTCGTCTACATTTTGAAGAAAATTTAAACTAATACTAAAATTTGCAAAAGATCTTAATATATGCGTATGGTTATTATAAATTTGTCATTTCATCTTTAAGTTTAGTTTAAATAAATTCCAAATCTATAGATTACTCTTAGACGACGTCGAGTCTTAGAAATCCGGTTTATCAAATTAATTGTTCAGACTGCAATTCAATTTATATTGGAAAAACAAATAAAAAATCCCAGACAATTCAAAACTATGCTTACAGAACACATTTAACACTTAACATTAATACAATATAGATTGTTTTAAACCTCTCGTCTACATTTTGAAGAAAATTTACATTAAAATTTAAAGAAAAGGATCTTAATATATATACGTATGTCTACTATAAATTACATTATCATTTCATCTTTAAGTTTTGTTTAAATAAATTCCAAATCTATAGATTACTCTTAGACGACATCGAGTCTGTTAGTATCATATTACACATATTTTTAATAATAATATAAGATAATTCAACAACTGCACAATTATACGCGATGATATCAAGAAATTTTCGCAAAAATCCATAACAAGATAAGATAACGAGCCTACGAACGAACAAAAACTTATCTACGCAACATATTTCATGTTAATTACAATTTATATTTGATTGTCTAGTTATTCTGAATTTTTTGACATGAAAATTAGGTGGTATTTTGAACTCTCGTAGGGTAAGTTATAGTAATCGCAAATAAATGGAAAATGAAAATTTTTATATGTCTTTACGTTTTAAAGGTTTCTGAACATTTTGGCATATCTTAGAAAAAATGGTTGCATGTGTGTGTGTGCGGATACAAAATTTCAATTTGTACTCAAAAAAAAAATAACAAAATACATCACAACTTTGTCTTCTAATACCTATCTTTTAAATAAAAACTATCAGAACTCTTACTAAACGCTTTCATGTAATAGCAGATAAATTATAATACACATGTAAATTAATTTTTTTTTGCAAATTTGTATTATAACATTTACATTATAATTTGCATTCGAAATACCAATCCAGTTCAAGTGATTATTATTCATACAAACAATTTGTTTGCAAAACGGGAAGTTTCAGTACATCAGAATTTCATTATGTTATTCTTGAGCAATTCTGTCGGTAATTGGTCTCGTTAAAAATAAAATAGTAATGAAGACGTTCCAAGAATTCGTCGATAATCTTTCAATTCGCGAAAAAAGTACAAACAAACGAATCCGATAATTATTTATCTAAATAAATATTTACTACGTTTGCGTTTGAGAAATACGCAAACAGAATTATCGACGGAAGAATAACTAATGGAGTGCATGGCATCGTGCCTTAAGGCTAATTGCTGGAACTTCCCGGACATTCGAGGAATGAAAATAATCAATAATTGTTTTGAATAATTTCAAATAGATTATTTATTATAAATACATACTGTAAATTTATAAGTGCTATTTAAATTAGGCGACGTGTGTATTTTACAAACATTTTATGTGTATGTTCACAAGAAATTTCTTTAATTTTTTTTTAATCAGATTTTTTGATAATTTTTAATTTTTTTCAAAATTTGGATTATTTTTTAATGCGATTAGACTGTGACTATAAGGAAGCACTTTTTCAATTTTTTGTAAATTAGGCAGCTATTTTTATTTTAAAATTGAATTCGAAATGAGATGACGATTTGTTAATGTTTTGGAGATGAATTGATTTATGATTTACATTTGATTTGCTCAGATATAACAGGATAGCAAAAATAATGAAAGTTACTTCAAGCATTTGTAATAATATATTTGAAAATGTTTAATATTTTTGGAATATTTCATTACGGTACGTGAAGTTCCAGCAATTTGCCTTAAGGCACGATGCCAAACACCACTAGTTATTATTATTACTATTATTTATTATTATGAATAATACATCATCGCATGATCGTTCTTAGAAAGTCTAAAAAAATTTAAATAGATAGTTTTGTTGACGCATTTGATGAAACAATTCGTAATTCGTTCGATTCCCATTTGACCCATTTCCACGATATTATATATATATATTATATATATATATATATATATATATATATATATACAGCGATATATCGATAATTTCTCTGTTTTTTTCAACAAAAGGTCAAAGAAATTTGTTTAAATGTTATCAACTGTTTAATGATAAAACGAGGATTTCTCGACACTTCGTTATAAAGAATTGAGAAATCAAATAAGATTTTTAGAATTCTAAATAAAAACAAGATATAATTTTAAAAAAAAATTGAATGGTTTATCCAAAAGTAACTAAAATTTTGTGTTTATTAACTTCCCGTAGGGTAAGTTATAGTTAAGTAATAGTAAAAATCGAAAATGAAAATTTTTATATATCTTTACGTTTCAAAATCTTCTGAACATTTTGGTATACCTTAGAAAAAATGGTTGTGTGTGTGTGCGTGTGTGCGTATGTGCGTGTATGTGTGTGTGTGTGCGCGGATACAAATTTTCGTCGACGATTTCGGGAACACCGATCAACCGATTTGAATAATTCAAAAAACATTCGATTCGTATTGATAAGGAGACGTGCTGATTAGTTTTTTTTTCAGAGTAAATTTTTTTCAAAAATGTTAATCTTTTTTAAAAAAAAATAATTTTTGGTACAGGAAGTTCCAGCAATTTGCCTTAAGGCACGATGCCATGCGCCCTACTAATTTTTTATAATTTTAAAACGATACCTTAAATAATGTTATTAGTAAGCATTTGTTTTCCAAATTATGTCATTCAATATAAAATTGTGTATTATTATGTATATAAGTTACAAATTAAGTTTACATATATTATCTGTAATTGTATAATTGTATTGTATTGGAAATTTAATTTGGGAAATTTTTGTTAAAAAATTATAAGGTCAGTACTTCATCGGAAAATTTAGTTAGAGCGACCAATTCCCAACATACTTCAAAAAACATTATTTTTTATAAATAACTAGCAAACCCGACGAACTCCGTTTTGCCACCAGATGGTTTTGTGAGAAAGAAGAAGAAATTTTTGTTTGTTTTATATTTGAAAAGGAAAAATTTGATTTTATTACACAACAGTAATGAATTTATTTCGATTACAAAAATGAAGTGTTTTTTAGTTGTACTTCTCTAAGTAAATGAAAGTGAATCCGCAAATTATCCGTTTCATTGAAGTGCTCTTTGGTAAACCACATTTTTTGTTATTTGGTCTGAGGTTAACACAAACAAAGCGGATGGATTTCCAACTCGTGAACAGGCAACGTATAACTGCCCATGTGAAAAACAATGATTTTCTAAATAATCTATTTGAAATTTATCCCGCAAACACTAAGCGATTAGCCTTGCGACTTCTTATTGCGAACTGGAAATTGCAATCGTTTGAAGTCAAACGGAAGACCAGTCGGAATCATTGGTATGTCACCGAATCGCCAGCAATTTTTGATTGAATGGTGAAATTCAGTGGGTGTACTTCATTATTCTTTGCGGCAAGAATTGCTCGTTGACCTAACAAAGCATAATTCTGATAATTTTCACTAATGTCATTACTCGAATTTTCAATTACGGTGCGTGAAGTTTCAGCAATTTGCATTAGGGAACGATGCCATGCACCACTAATTTTCTTAGCTATAAACCTTGCTGAGCCCGAGACCTTTCCAACGAATGCAAAATTGTCGAAATCGGTTCGTACGTTCTGGAGTCATATCGTCAGGAAGGAAAACTTGACTTAAGATAACAAAAATTAACCACGATAACTGAAAAATTATCACAGTTTCACCAAAGTTCTTGGTTGCACTTCAAAGCTCACTATTATCAAACTGCGTGGGATAGATTTTTATCCTAATTTTTCTCATTCCATCCTGTCCCCCTGTGACGTTGAGTTCTGGCACACCGTGTATCTATATAAAATACTAGTAATTTATTTCAATTACCTTACTAATTTTTGTCTTTTCCCTTTCAGATCGCGAACGGTTACACTACACCTCCTCCAACGACCGATCCCAAAAAATTCTGACAGACTTCCACCTCCTGCAGCCGTTTGTGGAGCACCACCATCATCTGGCCAAGAGGAGTCCGTTTCAGCCGCAAGTCAACAATGGTAATCCTTCTGCTGCAGACAATGGAACCGCCATCGCCTCTTCCAAGGACGAAGGGGCGCAGCAGGTTCCTGCCGTTATCAACGTCGTGACGACGACGACTGCTCCTTTGAAGAACAATGGAGAAGGAGACAGGTAAATGATAAATGATAAATGATAAATGGTAAATGATAATAATGAGGGTTGGGTGGGAAAAGGTCTAAGTTGAATTTTACACCAAGGAATGAAACAATACTGTATTACAATATTATAGTGCAATATTAGAGTAGAGAGATGGGTAACTCACTCCGGAGTTATCACTCCGATACAACTCCTCCCTCGGAGTGAATCCGAGTGGAGTTGTCTCGCCGGATTTGTCATATCCGATTTCCCTAAACTGGTACGAAATCTGTTACTGCGTTTTTGCTTTGGGAAGGAAGCTGTCGCTTTCTCGTCTCACAGGCAGTTTTATGACCTTTTAGGTATCCTTTTTTTCCCAGAAATTACAAAAATATTATTTCAAAGATACAGAACAATGAAATTGTGTTCAAGTGTGAATAGCTCCAATGTATAATTTATTGAATAGTAACGGGTCATATTTCTAACTACGACAATCTTTGGCCGTGAATGACGGCAATCAGGAATATACATACCGAAAAATACGCGAAACAAAATACATTTAATCTGGTTTTTCCATAGCCTGAAATAACAATACTTTAGAGTGCAAAATATATCAGTGACGTCAATAGTATTCAAGCAGCAAAAAATATAAAGTAATAAATTTTTACTTTTACACAATTATATAATTGTCTAAAAGTAATAATATGCTAATGGAACTACCCGATATAATTATAATTCTCGAATGGAAATAGCAGAAGAAAAAATTAGAAAGCAGAAGTATTATTATTTGGTGAAAATATTTTATGATAAATGTTTTGCTTTCATTACAAAGTTTACTACATTATTTTTATATAAAATAATCCAAAATATCAATTATTTTCTCATCAAAAGAAAATAATTAAATTGAATTTGATTCTCAAGTTTTGCGTTTTTACTTTGAGTCATTGAGTCGATCATGTGGTCGACCGAAAAGTTTTACAACTCGTCATTTATTTGTGAAATTTTTAGAAAAATTATTTTATTGATATTTTTTTAATGTTTTTTATTCATAAATTTTTATTTCAAAAAATTAAATGGGATTTTACAAATCCTTAGATGCACAAACAACGCACTATAGAACACATTTGTGTCAAATATTATAGTTCAAAGTTGTCGGAGTCGTGGAGTTGTTAAGCGGATATAACTCCACCATGAAGCGGAGTCAAATCTGACTTCCCTAAACTGGTACTAAATCTGTTAACATGTGCAGATATTTGCTCGAGATTTTTTACTATATAAAGATTTGTGTCGAAAGAAGTGGACTTTTTCACATCTCACAGTCAGTTTTAGGACTTTCCAGGTATATAATGCCTCAAAATAATGCAATTTTGTATACTATACGATAATTTTTGTCGGTTAATGAGCTCTTTCAATGGTATACAACTAGCTAAATAAAATTTAGTATTACAACTTTTACACAATTATGATTTTATAATTGTGTAAAAGTATTCGTATGCTAATCAAACTACCTGATGTATAATTAATTCTCGAAAAAGAAACAATAAAAGAATGTGAGGTATTATTATTCTGTGAAAAATATTATACACAAAGATTTGCCCTTATTTCATATATAAGGTTCACTGCATTATCTACATGTTACCCCAGTCAAATTAAGTTTTCAGTATTACAATATTATAGTGCAATATTAGAGTAGATTAGTCCAGTCATTTAAGCTTAAAGGGCACACCTAGTGTGAAATTTTCAAAAAAAATGAATGTTTTTATAGGTATTTTGATAGGTTATACCTTTAAAAATAATATTCTAAAATTTTATTTTGATATCTTAAATAGTTTTTGAGTTACAGCCATTTAAAGAGTATATATATATAGTATATAGTATAACGATCATTTTATCTTCAAACGCGTTTTTCTTGAAACAGCATTTTTCGAATTTGCTGCAGTGATTAGTCGGAGACAAATTATCCGATTGCTTTCAAATTTTGTTTGCATCTCTTCTATTTAGTTCTACATACGATGACCCTCCAGTTTTTTGATCTGATCCAAAATCGAATTTTGGCAGGCCAAAAACGATCAAAGTTTTGGGAAAAAATTAACTTTTTTTTTCAACATACCGCCATTTTGTCAATTTTTAACTAGTTATAGTAATGGGCCGAAAATCGCAATGAATTTTTGCATTTCTCGACGTTTTGAAGATTTCTGAACATTTTACTGGCATACCTCAGAAAACTAATAGATGTGTGTGTGTATTTTGTATGACCGCATTTTTTTTCGTCCACGTTTTCGGGCGCACGGATCAACCGATTTGAATGGTTTATAAAACATTCGATTCCTATTGATAGGTAGATGTGCTGATTATTTTTGGCAAAGGCATCCGATTTGTATGATCCAAAAATATTCAGTTCGTAATGATGGGGAAAAATGGTTATTAGTTTTTGGCAAAGGTAGGCCCAGCGGTTTCGGAGATACAGAGCTAAATGTTAAAAAAATTGATGTTTTTGAGAGAACTAAGCGTCCGATTTAAATGATTCAAAGAACTTTTTGCTTGTTTCAACAAAATAATTGCTTTTGGAAAAAAAAATTTCTAATTTTTTATTTCAAAAAATATTTTTGTAATTTTGGATTCAAGAAATTCAAAAAATTACCCAGGCTAAGCACAGTCTAAGCGCCACTCTGGTGCAAATGTTTACCCAAGTGCGTTTAGACTGTTTCAGTACTGGAGCACTTTTCCAATTTTGTGAAACTATTGAAAAATGTGAAAATGCCGCCAAGCTAAGCACAGTATAAGTGAAAATGTCGCACAGAATTATTTGCAAATACGTTTAGACTATGACTGTACGGGAGCACTTTTTCAATTTTGTGTAAATTGGCACTTTTTATTGAAATTGTATTCGAAATGAAATGTCGATTGTTAATATTATGGAGATAAATTGATTTATGATTTATATTTGATTTGCTCAGATATAACAAGATAGCAAAAATAATGAAAGTTACAATATTTGTAATAATACATTTGAAAACGTTAAAAATTTCTCGAATATTTCATTACGGTGCGGAAAGTTCCAGCAATTTGCCTTAAGGCACGATGCCATGCGCCCACTAGTTTATTTTTTGTTCGTCCGAGGGTCATCGTACAGACAATATGTTCTAGTATATAAATTAGGTAAGAATCTCGGAATTCGATATACTCCAAAGTTGTCTCAAAACCTATATATGGTATTGACGCCCTATCATATGTAGGTTTTGAAACAACTTTAGGGTGTCATTATACAGTATTTACATACTTACAGCTGGGCATCTCGAATTCCGAGGTGAACTTGCTATAATGACTGGACTAGATACAGGGATAGTCGATAGACTTGCAGATACAAGGGTACTTGGATCGAATCCCGGTCGATTCGCTAAAATTGACATAAATTGTAAAATTGTACTTTTTAACTGCAATTTGTGACCTTTATTTTTTAGTTCTAAGACCGAAGGCGAGAACCGAAGCGACAGCTCCAATTCGAGCGCAGGCGGTGACTCGGCTCCTGCTGCGACTCCTACGAGGGACAACCATCAGCCTCCGAGCAGGCCGCAGCAGCAGCCTTCAGGATCTACGGAGCAATTACATGAACCTGCTCCTGCAACTACTCCAAGTCCGCAGATTGTGCAGCAGAATATTCTGGGAGCAAACGGAACAGGTGAGAGATAAATAGATACAAAGATATAAAAAACTAGTGGGGCACATGGCGTAGTGCCTTAAGGCAATTGCTGGAACTTCCCATACCAAAAATTATTGTTTTTTAAGAAGATTAACATTTTTGAAAAAAAATTACTCTGAAAAATTAGATTTTTGAGAAACTATAAATTTTTGACAAAAATTCCCTTTTTTTTGAAAAAAAGAGACTTTTTGAAGAAAAGTGTATTTTGAAATATTTTGGAAATTCGGAACTTTTTTTCAAAGCAATCGTACTGCTTTAACTGCATAGAGACGAAATATGTATGCGCGTAAGCGCCGCGTCGCCGTCTAACGGATAAACATTGGTACGGAACCCATAGGAATGTAAATAAAATTATATACTTATTGTTCCAAATCTATATAAATATCTGATAATTGAAGTGCATATGTCCAATGATCATTTTTGACCGCCAGGTGGCATTTTTTTTTACTTTTTTTTACTAGATCTCCGAACCGCTAGACCTGCGGTCATGAAAATTTTGATCAGTTTTCATCCTTGTTAAGGTGGTCTTCCTATGTGAGACGGCCTGTTTTTGAGGAGGGATATTTTAGGAGTTTTTTTCTACGACCAGTAAATATTTATAGCTTCAAGTTTTTTATCATTTATTAACACATATTTTGGGACAGTATAAATATAAATTTCAGCTAAAATATTCAGTCAACTAGAGTTACAGCGCTCTGAACACCGCCGCCTCGTAAAAAAGAGCTCACACTTCCTCCACGATTCCGGCTGATCGGCTTATCTGACCAAAAAAAAAATAAACGGCGTTTTAATTTGTAGCTTAAAAGCACGGATGACCTATAATCAAATGAAATAAAAAAATGGATTTTTGATAAAAGACATTTGAAATAAAGTTGCAAATTAAAGGCGTTTTTTTTTGTTATTGCTATAAAAAAAATCGAAGTTTTGAAAATTGAGTGTGCCCTGTAAATTTCAAGTAATTCGGTCCAGCCGTTTCTGAGATACAATGGAGGAAAGTTTGAAAAACACAGTTTTGAGAAAAAGTTTAAAGTTTCAAGTCCGTTCGTACGTAGAAAGTCCGCTCTTTCTTTTACCTGCTGTATCTTTAAAACGACTTCGAATTTTCTAAAATCGCTTTACTACCGTATTCTAGACATGTTAAGGGAGCAATTTATGAAAAAAACAATCGATTTTTTTAACCCATCACATAGCAAGACCCCCTTAATACAAGTAAATGTTTTTTCAATTATTAAAATCGGACGCTCCGTTCTCTTAAAAACTGAGTTACCGTTTTTGGCACTTTTTGCTCCGTATCTTTGGAACGGCTAGACCTGCCTTCAGCAAAAACTAATCAGCACGTCTCCTTATCAATACGAATCGAATGTTTTTTGAATTATTCAAATCGCTTCATCCGTGTTCCCGAAATCGTCGACGAAAATTTGTATCCGAACACACATATACATACACGAACAATGTAACTTGGATACATTACTTTCTAAACTTTAATTTAATAATAAATACTAAAATCGAAAGGTTTTCTAACAAATTTTTGAATTACAAAAGATTTTGTAGCAAACAGTAGTTTAATTATAAAAATTCAATTTGGTGCGTCCATTATACATGTGAGGGTCGGTTGACAAAAAATTAGGGGTGGTGGGGGAAGGAGGGGCATAGTAAAATATCACAGTGTATTTATTGTTTACCTTATTTTTTTTTAAAATCCTAACATTTTCAAAAAAAATTCAAAAAAATTAGAATTTTTTCTCGTAACTTAAATCACTAAGGTGGAAGGGGGTGTCCAAAAATCCTTAAAAAATCGATAACGTGATTAATGGACGTCGCCTTAGGAATAATGTTCATTTAGGCAAAATACCACTTACTGCAACTAACTTAATTTTTTATTTTTCCAGGTATTCGATGGACAAATGTATCAGTATCCAGCACTGGTGTCACCAAAGAAGGCGGTAGACAGCTGCAGCACCCACTTCCAGTGGTCAGCGAACCAATTCTGCCCGATGAAATCAACAATAGCACTCTCACCGAACATAATATTACACAAAATAAGACGGTAAGGGAAAAAAAATCATCGATGTTACATTGTAACTATTACTATTCAATTAAACATCTGAATACTCTTGGAAGTTCTTCGAAAGAATGCACTGCCTCGATGAATTTGAAACACTGACTTACACAATTATTCTTATTAGTAAATAATACTTATTGCTTAATTATTTCGTTAAATATATATATATACTAGCTAACCCGGCAAACGTTGTTTTGCCATAAAAAATATGCCTAAATTGATAAAAAATTAATAAAAGTGCCAAAAATCAAATATTTAATAGATTTGGACTCTGATTCTTTGACAAATAGTTAAAAACTTGTTATAATTTTCAAAATTATTTGACATTTCATACTTCAAAAATTAATTCACTCGCATCATAGTTTTTTGTTTATTATACTTCTGCCATGTCATATATGTCAATAAAATTTTCTTTAAAATATTATTTATTTGTTAATAAATTAATAATTATTTTAAGTCATCAATGAATAATTATATAATTGTTAAATTCATAAGTTTGGCTAAATCAACACAGGAATATTGTGGAAATAAATATTTTTTTACCTAAAGATCTGATTTTTGACATTTGCATTTTATTTCAAATTAATTATAACTGTCAAAATATTTTCTTTTCGGTCAAAATTTAATATAATATGATATAATATTTAGTTTGTCTAGTTTGTTTTTGTCAGATTCCAATAATACCCTCAGATTGTACTATTCCATTTAAAAGATTACAATTTCCTGTAAGATTAGCATTTGCGATGACAATCAAAATATATCTTAACTGATATATTAATAATAATATTATATTTTAATTACACAAATTTCTTTACACTCCGATAAATAATTTCAACGCATCATAGTGTTTTGTTTATTTTAATTTTGTTTATGCCAATTTTTTTTTTAATTAAAGAATAAATTAAATTTTAGTCTAAATCAACGCAGCATCTTTATCTAAATATACATTTTTTTATATAAATATTTGTTTTTTCACATTTGCATTTAATTGAAAAATAGTGAATGTCAATTTCATATATCCCATATGCACTAAATTTATAAATGTCAAAATATTTTCTTCTTGGTCCAAAATTAATATAATATGATAATATTTATTTTACAATAATGTTTTGTATCTATAATTTGTTTGGCAATATTGCCTATAACATAACTTGGAATAATTAATTTATTTGCTTCTTATTGAAGTAAGTCGTTAAACATTTTTTTTGTGAAATGTCAAAATTTTGTTTATGATTAATTTTAAATTCAATTGCCGCTTTTTTATTGTGATCTCTGATCTCTAATGTTTTGATGAAGTTTTGGTTTTCGAAATAATTTGGTAGGCTTATCAGTTAAATCCAAATCGTAAATCTATTTATATAATTATTTTCATAAATATTGAAAAATGACATTTATTTCTTTACATGTCAACATTTATTTAAATTTTTAAGCATTGATTTTTAATTAGATTTAAAACTATTAACAGTGATTTTGAATATAGCATTTCATCAAATTTGGATTTAAATGTTGAATATTTCTATATATGTACATGTTTTTGAATTTTATTTTTTGAAATGTCAATTTTATTTTTTCAAAAATTATATATCGAAATTTCCTTAAATTTTGACATTTGTCATTTTAGTGTTTTGTTTTTTTTGGCCATTTTCTGTCAAAATTTTTATAAATTTATAAAAATTATATTTTTGTATTTTAAATTCACTTCTCAAAATTTCCTATAACCTAAGTTGGATATATATGCACACGATGAGCCAATAAAATTTAAAATCGGTTCAGTAGTTTGGGCGTCCATCGCGAACCAACATCGTGACACGAGATTTATATATATATATATATACTCGTATATATATATATATATATATATATATATATATATATAATTTGTCACTAACCTAACCTTCCAGAACTTTAACTTGATAGTTCATATTTAACCTAACGAGATATAAATATTAATAATCCATTATGAACTCGATAGCAGATGACTTGATTAATACATAAGTTTTTTCTTTTATCTCATTTTTATTCTTTTAAGGATTCCCACGACTACTACAACAGCACAATTTCGACAGACCCAGAAGTTGGTAAAATGTACTGGGACCAATTTGCATCCCCCGAACGATTGAATTCGGCACAAGTCTCTGATTTGTTATCGAGCAGTCATCGTAGAGCAGTTGTGAGTCCTTAGTCTTAATTCTAATATAAATTCTTAATATAGAAATGCTTCTATTACCAATGTAAATACAATTTGCACATTTGCAATAATTGACACATGTCTAAATGTTCTGTTTGTCTTTGTGCTTCATCATCTCGGCAGACAAACATTACTGAAGCTGTGGTGAGTCGAATATGTTATCACTTTTTGCTTAATGTCTTGGGCATGATTAGAATTTTTATTTTTAAGTGTGAAAATAATTTAAAAATAGTCGTGCATGGCTTTGTGTCTTAAGACAAATTGCTGGAACTTTCCGTACTGTAACGAAATGTTTTCAAATAGATTATTATAAGTACTGTAAGTTATATAGTTCGTATTTTATATACAAAATAATAAGAGCTTTGTAAATTGGACGACGACGTTTATATATGTTTACATAAAAAGTAAATAAATGAGAACTTATATATATATATATATATATATATATATATATATATATATAAATTACTATTATTTTCAGACTGTCCAATTGAAGTTCGCCTTTCCCTTCTACGGGCACTCTGTCAGAAACGTGACAGTTGCCACGGGAGGATTTCTCTACACCGGTGACTACGTCCACTCCTGGTTGGCAGCCACACAGTACATTGCTCCTTTGATGGCCAATTTTGACACATCTTTGTCGAACAACTCATATGTCAAATTTTACGACAACGGTAATAAAAGATTCATTGATAAATAGACTAGTTGTAAAGTATTTTTGATGTACAGACAAGGAGAACCAGGAAAAATAGAAAATTACATAGATAGATATATAGATAGATAAATAGATAATAAGATAACTAACGAGAAAAATAACTAGTTAAATACATAGATAATTATATAACTAAATAAGTAGATATATGCATATATAAAATAGTGGGGTGTATGGCATCGTGCCTTAAGGCAAATTGCTGGAACTTCCCGTAATGAAATATTCGAGAAATTTTAAACGTTTTTAAATATATAATTACAAATACTGAAACTTTCATTATTTTTGCTATCTTGTTTGTTATATTTGAGAAAATCAAATGTAAATCAGAAATCAATTTATCTTCAGAACATTAACAATCGTCATTTCATTTCGAATTCAATTTAAAAAAAAAAGTTGCCTAATTTAGACAAAATTGAAAAAGTGCTCCTGTATAGTCACAGTCTAAACGCATTTGCAAATAATTCTGTGCGACATTTTCACTTATACTGTGCTTAGCTTGGTGGCATTTTTACATTTTTCAATAGTTTTTCACAAAATTGGAAAAGTGCTCCAGTACATAAACAGTCTAAACGCACTTGGGTAAACATTTGTACCAGAGTGGCGCTTAGACTGTGCTTAGCCTGGGTCATTTTTCAAATTTTTAATCCAAAATTACAAAAATATTTTATGGAAAATAAAAAAAGATGTAATAATTTTTTATCCTCAAAAGCAATCGTTTTGTCAACACAAACAGAAAGTTTTTTGAATCATCCAAATCGGATGCTTCATATTTTCAAAAAGTGCCATTTTTTGCACATTTAGCTCTGTATCTTCGAAATGGCTGGACCTGTCTTTGCCAAAAACTAATCACTTCTTCTCCCAATCATTACAAATTGGATAATATTGATCTATTGTTGATAGTGAAAAAGCATTTCTTAAAATATTATAGGCCTGCGATTTGATCAACTAGATCCACTATGGGGCATAGATTATTTATTATGAATACATACTGTGAATTGATAAGTGCTTATTAAATTGGTCGACGAGCGTATTCTACAAACATCTTATGTATGTGTTCACTTTGTTCAATTTTTTTTTAATTTTGATTTTTTTGATAATTTTGAAATTTGTTCAAAATTTTGAAACATTTTTAAAAGTTTGCAATTTTTTGTAATTTTTGAAAAAAAAAAACGATTTTTTTTTTTCAAAATTTAGAAATTTTTCAATGTAGTGTTTTGTTGAAAATGATGAAAAATTTTGAAAATTTGAATTTTCTGAAATTATAAATTTTTTTCCATCATTTTATTATAATGATTGGGCTATGGAGTACATAATTGAAATATGATTTTTAACTTCCCGAAGGAGAAGTTCATGTTTTCATCAAAAAATCCGATTCGCTAATTTTATGTATTCTCGACGTTTCAAGCCATTCTGAATCGAATGAGACCAAATTTGGAAAAAGTATGTGTGTGTGTGTGCGTGTGTGTGTGGGTGTATGTGAACAGATTTTTTGCCGTAAATCAACGTTTTCTCAAAAAACGGCTGGACCGATTTCAAAAATTTAAAAGCCATTCGATGTATCTCGATGAGGACAAGCGTTTATCAATTATGCGCGACGATCAGCCAAGCCGTTTCCTTGTAAATAGCAGAAAAGTAAAAATTTTTCGTCCACGTTTTAGCCCGCAGTTCTGAATTAATTTTGAAAATTCAAAAATCGTTCGAAAGATATTGATAAGGAATCGTGCTGATTATTTTTTGCTAAAGATCGGCCGGGCCATTTTCTTGTAATACAGCTTTAAAAAAAATCGACGATTTTTATTATTATAGTTTTGACGGTAGATACCATAGTCTTCTAGATCATATTAAAATATTACGGCCCAACGACAACTCGTTTAGCTTAAAAAATTCGTCAAAGTTTGCAAATATCAGTATCTTTTTTTTTAGCATTTGTCAAAATTAGACCTTTCATCGACGTTTTCTCAAAAACGCCTGAACCGATTTTAGAAATTTAAAAGCCATTTGATGTATCTCAATGAGGACTATCGGTTGTCAGTTTTGTGAGATGATCTAACTTTTCGTCCACATTTAAGCCCAAACTACCGAATCGATTTTAAAAAATCAAAAACTGTTCGAAAGATATTAGTTGGGAATGATGCTGATTAGTTTTAGGTGAAAATCTACCGAGCCGTTTTCTTGTAATTAACTGTTGAAAAAAAATTTAAGTCGTTTTTTATGGAACTTTTTTTTGGCGATATATATCATGGTTTTATAGAACTTACTGAAATATTACGGCCTTCCGACAAGTAGTTCAATTTTCAAAATTCATCAAAGTTTGAGAAAATGAGTAGTTTTGTTGACGATTGTTAAAATTAAAATTAGACGATTTACTAGGTGTAACAATAGAGTAACTCGGTCTTAATGAACATACTAAACCATTAAAGTCCCACAGGTTTAATTACAAAAATTGTTGATTTTTGAAAATTTGCTTTTAGAAAATACTCCGAGTTAACGTGTTCGTTCGCTTTTAATTATATGTAATAAATCTACTAGGAATGCTTTTAATTACTCATAAATTAATTTATTTTTTATTGATATGGTCGATTACTTACACATATCGGAAAGTTCATGTAACTTGCCTCAGCAATACAAACTAGTTTTATTTATTTTTAGGAACTGCATTCACGGTTCTTTGGGAAAACGTTTGCCTACAAGACAGACCAGAAGTGGGTCCTTTCACGTTTTCAGCAACCCTCATGGACACTGGTGATATTGTTTTTGTTTACAAAACGATTCCGGTCCTCGTCGAGAAAATTGAGGACAACAAGCATCCTGTCAAAGTTGGTTTGAGCGATGCCTATATCATTGACAGGACTATATTCTGTAAGTTGGATAAATGATACAATTAAGTAGTAATTAATAATCTTATGCTTGTTCTTTAATTATGGAAATGTCTATCTATTTGTCGTGCGATCAAGCGTATTTTACATATAAACAAGCAAGGAAGAATTTTATGATAACAGATAGAATGTTATTTTTTCTAGTTACTCGAAGGAAGACGATTTATGAATACCATCGTGTCCAGTTCAAGCAGGAAGATATCAAGAATGGCACCACAATTTATTTAAAACTCCTTCCGACTTGTGTTGCTTTTACTGATTGTCAGAGCTGTTTGACTAATCATACAGGATTTGTGGTAAGATATATATATATATATATATATATATATATATATATATACAGGGTGCCTGATATGTATTGCAACCAAATTCTAAATTCTATCATTTCTGAACCGCTCTGAATTTCTGATTTCTGAAATCAGACAGCAGCGAGTTATGATTTTTTCTATCTTTTGAAGGCTATAATTCGTACCAAAGGTGGCCAATTAGAACAAATATGAACTGCTTCTAAAATTTGATGTTATTTCTGACATTTTTGCTTTTGAACAATGAAATTTAAAATGAAAATGACTAAATTATAGCTTTTTACTTTGTTGCATTACATATCAGCCACCCTGTATATATTTATTATATTTAATGTATTATTTATTAATGGTGAATGTTTGATTTTTTAGTGTTCCTGGTGTGAGGCTACAAATAGGTGCTCATCTGGTCTCGATAGATATAGGCAAGAATGGCTTTCAAAAGGTAATATAAATATATTTATATAAAAACTCCAAAGCATAGTTCAAACATTTAAATAATATTAAATATATGCTTTGTAGACGTTTCAAGTCAAATTTGGAAAAAGTTTGTGTATGTGTGTGCGTTTTTTTGTATAGCGAAGGAAATGCGTTTACTAGGTTATTTGGCTCGGTATGTCGAGCTGTGTATATCAGGCATTATTTCATGGGGGGTGGAACTAGAATGCTATGTTTCTCACTTTCAATCAAGCCTGTCTCCTTATTAGTATCTGAAGATTAGTTCTAAATTAGTTCAGAAGATAAGATCGCAAGTGTGTGTGTGTGTGTGTGTGTGTATTTATGTGAGCCAAATTTTTTACCTTTCAATTAAGTTTTTAAAAAACGGCTTAACCAATTTTAAAAATTCAAAATCTATTTGATGTATCTTGGCAGTTTCATATGAAATTTTTGAGTTATTTGACAAAAACCAAAAAAATGTTCCGAATTTTCTATTTATTGCTGAAGAATGAAATTTCGAATTCAAAGTCGTTTTATTCAAAACTGTTATATCGCAGTGTATATGAGTGTTGTAAATGTAGTAAATTTTATCTAGTTTTATCCTATATAACTTAAAAAGGGTGCTTTTATATAAACTTTGTGAGTTATTTGACAAAAACCAAAAAATGTTCCGAATTTTTTATATATTCAAGTTCAAGTTCTTGCAACAAATTCTGATTCGATTTTGAAAATTTAAATATGGGAATTGCCTTGATTACTTTATTTATGAGTTTGCAAAAATATTGCTACCAAAATTTTTTTAGATTTCGATTGAATTTTTATTAGATGCTTGATAGGTCCTTCCTAGTTTCTCATAAGATTTTTACCGATATCTCATACGAGATTCTTATAAGACTTGTATTCTAGGTTCTCACTAGATTCTGGAAAATACATATGATTTTTTTTTTCAAATTGTTTTTGATTCGTACATTTTAATTTCAGTTTCAAATTCGTAATTATAATTTATTCAGTTTCAATATTCGTGGACTCTTGACCATAATTTTTTTCAAAGGTTTATCGATTTGTAAATTCTATACTACTAGATTCTCACCAGGATCTGATTACATTCTTATCGACATCTTACAATTTTTTATCATTTCAATTGCATTCTTACTATATTTTTTCAGATCCTGATTGAATTTTTACTAAAATCTAATAAATAAAGTTTATACAATATCCTTATAAGATTCATTTTAGAATCTTCCCGTTATAAGGTCCTTGTTAGATTCTTACCGGAATCTTCTCCTCTTCTCGTCAAAATCTTACTAGTATTCTATTAGGTTCTGATAGGATCTCATTTGATTCCAGAAGGAAAAGTTTGTTTTCATCAAAAAATCCGATTCGCTCATTTTTCTCGACGTTCCAAGCCATTCTGAATCGAATGAGACCAACATTTGGAAAAAGTGTATGTGTGTGTGTGTGAACAGATTTTTTTCGTGAAAATCTATCAATCTATCTTGTAATTAAAACTCTTTTTGATGATATATATCATGGTCTTATAAAACTCATTTAAATATTACGGCCTTAAGATAAATAGATTAATTTTAAAAATTCATCAAAGTTTGAAAAATATTAGTTACATCTTTTTGGCGTCTGTCAAAATTAGACCTTTCATCGACGGTTTTCTCAAGAGCCGAATTTTAAAAATTTTAAAACCATTCTAAGAAACTTGATAAGCACTCGCGTCGGTTAGATTTTTGATACGTTCGGCTGAGCCGTTTTTTTCGTAATTAGCAGAAAAGTGAAAAAAATTTTGTCCACGTTTTACCCCAAAATTCTGTATCCATTTTAAAAATTCAAAAACTATTCGAAAGATGTTATTTGGGAGTCGTGCTGATTAGTCTTGGACAATGATCAGCCTAGTTGTTTCTTCATAATTAATTCCTAAAACAAAAATTTTTTTGATGAAACTTTTTATGTTGATAGATATAATGGTCCGAAATTTTACGTTTCTACGGCAAGTAGTTTAATTTTAAAAATTTATCAAAGTTTGAGAAAATATTATAATCAAAACTGTGTCAAAAGTTATTGATAAGCATTAACTTTATTTTTGAAATAAATAGTTGACTAATTTTATCTAAATATCTAAACCTCAATTTCGGTTGATTAAGTCAATTAGTACACATTTCGGGAAGTTCATGTAACTTTCCTTAAGGCAAAATATGATTTTCTATATTTTTTCTCCCTAGGTTGTAACATAAACAACGTCTCCAAGAACGACCAATGTCCAGCCCTCGAAATATCAGCAGAAGTGCCTCGCGTGTCAAAAGAGAAAATACCTTCGGAAGAACCAGAATCGGTCAGCCCGAGCGAGCAGCAGCCGCCTCCAAAAGCCTCCGGGCACAGATCGCCGTCTGGTGTCGTCGTTTCTGATAACGGCGAATTGGAAAATAATAAGGATGCGGGTACTTCGGCAGGACACGGAGCCCTGGCTGCCCTCATACCCTTGTGCTTGATTGTGGCGATTGCTGGATGGCTTTTGTACGCTTATAGGAATCCTCATACGAAGAGTGGCCAGATGCTGATCAGAGTGAGTAGTAAAGGACAATGGGAATGAATAAATAAATATATGTATATATATATATATATATATATATATATATATATACAGTAGAATCCGATTAGTATGACGCCGGATATAATGACAACCGCTTAAAATGACGTAATCGCACTAGGAATTTGATTTCCATATGAAATTCCTTAAAAAAACAGCTGTCTAGTCGGATATATTGACATCGCTTACATTGACATGTCGCTTATAATGACCCATTTTTGCAAAACATTATGTCCAATTATAATGACCGACACGATTTTACATGATGTGGCCAAGTCTACGAAAGCAATTGCTATGTCTTTTGTGCACAATAGCACCAGGGACTGTTTTTACAATGAAATTACGTAAAGAAATCAATCAAAAATTACTGATTACTTACATTTGTATGTTTATGGGTAGGGTAGACTAATTATTAATGGCCTACCACGGATATCTCATAAACAAATAAAATTAGATTTTTTTAACAATTATATTTGATAGTAGAGGGCAAAAAATGTATAAATTCATAACCAGCCATCACCTTTATTCTTATGACTTTGCTATCAGAAGATAAGCAGCACATGACTGCGATAAAAAGAACCAGCTGAACCTTTACTTAGGCAAAGGTGTAAGCAATAAAAAAGTAAAGTTTAAAAAAAAGCAATTTTACAAGAGATTAATTGAATAAATTGTTATTCCGGCTCTTCTGATGAATATTTCTGACCAATAGCAAATCAATGTAATATACAGTGTTGTCTTTGTAACAAATGTACTCACAGAATTAATATTTTGCATTCAATAATGTAGCGTAAAATGCCTTTAAAATTTAATAGAAGAAATTGCATCTCTTCGCCCCCTGGTTGTTACACTTTACCCCGTATGTGAGGTAAAATGGGTCAGATACCAAATGTTTAAAAAATAGTAAAAAATATAATATTTATATAATTAGTTTAGTTAGTTTTTCTGTTCGATAGATGCTTCTTTGATGTATGCTATGTGTTGTTCATTGGGTTTAGACAGTATAATTATCGTAAGCCAAATTGGACCGTTGTGCCCCGCCCTACCCTATGTCAATTTAATTTTATATTAAATTTTAATGTGTCATTTTTATTTTTAATTAAGACGTTTGTATATGCTTTTCTTTTAAATTACTGAAACATGTAACATATTTGCATATTAAAAAGTTTTTCTTCAGTACGCTTCAGTACGTTAGTATGACGAGATTTCGGCGTCCCTTCAATGTCATACTAAGCGGATTCTACTGTATATATATATATATATATATATTAGCTGGCCCGGCAAACCATAAAAAATATTTCTAGAAAATTTTTAGTATAAAAATGACTGACTGATTGTGAATGTAGAATCGCCCAATAATTTGACGCATCTAGTTTTTTCGATAGTAACCTTGTCGTTCCCAAAATCTGAGAAATGTTTTAGAAAATGTTACACTGGATAAATCGCATTTATTTAAGTTTTTCTATAAGCTAAAAAAATTGATCGAAATTCAATAAAAAAGTTTCCCAAAGAAGACGATAATTAAGTTATCGAGCTTTATCAAAAATTATTGGGCTACTAAAATGACAATTATGAAATAGGGATTTGTAGAAGAAGAGCGAATGTATTTTCCAATTCTGCATTATAAAAAATAAAGAAATTTGGTACCAAAAATGTAATAAAGTGTTAGAGATTGATTTCGATAAAGATAAATTGTTTTTAAAAGTGAAATTTAACCTTTCTCATAAACTCAAAAAAATCTGAACTAAAACTTACTCAGAAACATTCATTAATTGAAAGTGTAAATAAAATATTCACTAAAGTGACTATTACGAAGGGTGAAAATTTAGGGCTGTAAGTGCTTTTCTAATATGAATAGTGCTGATATATGTTATTCTTTTGTTACATGCAGTTCAATACAGGAGCCAAAACGGTAAATAGATTTATTTATACTAAACATAGATTAAAATTGATAATGTTAAAGCAAGTGTAGTCAATCCAGAAACCAGGGTATCCCAGAACTCAACGTCAAGCAGAAACGAGGTGATGGTAGTGACCTTAATTGTTTTGAAAAAAATTCAAAACGAAAAATTATCTCACCTTGTTTGGAAACGCAGCTTTTTAGTAATATTTTGAAAAAAAAACACAAAATTGCAAATTTTTGGAAAAAATCGATTTTTTTGAATACTAATTTTTTGGATGATTTAGAATCTTCTTAAATTGTAAATTGTCAAATTTTATGCAAATTCTGAAGATTAATTATTCAAATTTTTGAAAAAAATCTATTTTTTATATGAAAATTTTAAAATATCGCAAAATGGCAAATTTTTTAAAAAAAATCGACTTTATTCAAAACAGTATTTTTGGGAAAATCTTGAATTTTTTAACGTTATTGTAAAATATCAAATTTTTTTGCAAATTCTGAAAATCTTTAAATTTTTGGAAAAAATAAACTCCTAGGTTTTTATTTTTTTCGATTTTTTTCATTATGAAACTATGAAGTCTTTTACAAAATTTTGAAATTTTTTGAACATTTACTTTTTGAAAAATCATATATATTTTTTAAATCATAATTTTTTAAAATTATAAATTTTTGACAAAAAACGACTTTTTTTAAAAATCCTAAATTTTTACTAAGCGACTGTTTGAAAATTGCGGGATATTTTGAATTTTATTTAAGACCGAATGCTTTTGAACATTTATTTTTTAAACAATTTGGAAAAAATCGCAAAATTGGTAATTTTTGAAAAAATCGACTTTTTTTGAAAAATATTGTAATAATTAAGCTTTTATTATTTCACACAGTTTGACCAAAGATCTAGGTTGCACTTAAATTATAATCAATACTACCACCCACCTTTGACGTTGTGTTCTGGGATACCCTGCATATAAACTGTATATATATGTATATATATATATATATATATATATATATATATATATTTACCAATTTTTTTATTTTAGTATCGTCCCAGCCAGTGGACCTGGAGACGAGGAGAGGCTCGTTACACGGCCGCCACGATTCACATGTGAGAAATTTAATCCAAAAGTTTGTGGTTGTGTTTTCTTCTATTGATTAATTAATTAATTGATTAATTAAATTTCTTTTTTAATTAAATTAAATTAAATTGAATTCTAGAGAGTGTGTATGCTGTTTACAAAGTTGATGTTTATGATATGCATGTTGGTAAATAAATGGATCGCACTCGTTTTATTAAAATAAAATAGTTTTAAATGATAGTCGTTTGACGAACAAGGATAAAGGATAGTTTTGAACAAAATGTTAGGGATAAAACAATTTTGGGATAAAATAGAAATGTTAGGGGTCTATCTTCGTATGAGTATTTGCTGTGCGATCAGGCGTTTTGCACATAAAACCTAACTTCACCTATGTGTCATCAAAAAGTTGCACTCATGATAAAATTGTTTGATGTATTTGCCTTTTGGAGGTTAGTTTTTATGTGTAAAACGTTTGATTGCACAGTTCTTGTCAGGCCAAGTCGTATCATGAGGGGAGGATCTAGAATGCTATGATATTTTCTTTTAATTAGGCTTTCAAAATCGATTTCAAAAATTTAAAACCTATTCGATGTATCTCGGCCTAATTTCACCATAATCTGCCTAGACTACTACCAGATTTTAACTGCATTCTTATTAGATTTTTATTAGATTCTGATTTTTGTCAAAAATCTCATAAGGTTCATACAAGATTTTTACTAGATTTTTATAAGGTTCCTGCTTCAACTTTGTGCTATCAAAAAATTGCACTCATGATAAAATTGTTTGAGGTTTTTGCCTTTTGCAGGTTAGTTTTTATGTGTAAAACGTCTGATCGCACAGCAAATACATAGTTCTTGTCAGGCCAAGTCGTATCATGGGGGGAGGATCTAGAATGCTATGATTTTTTTTTTTAATTAGGCTTTCCTCCTAATTATTGTCCTTATTTCTAAACATCGCTAGTGTGTGTGTATGCATTTATGACCAAAATTTTTTTACTTTCGATTGACGTTCTCAAAAACGGATGAACCGATTTTAAAAATTTCAAACCTCGTTTTTTCATAATTTAGTAGAAAGATGTAAATTTTTTTATTTAAGTTTTTACAATAATTTTTGAACCGATTTTGAAATTTTCTGAACGTTTATTTTTTTAAAATTCGAATTTTCTGCAAAATTATAAATTTCTTGAAGAATCATAAATTTTTGACGAAAAAATGAGTTTATTTTGGGAAATTTTGAATTTTTCTTGAATATTCTGATTTTTTTTAAATCTTAAAAAAAACAATCACTTTTTTATGAAAAATCATAATTTTTTTTTAAGAAAAACGACTATTTTTGAAAATTGCGGGAAATTTGAGTTTTTTTTGAAAATATTGATATTTTATTTTGGAAAATTTTGCTTTTTTCTTGAATATACCAATTTTTTTAAATTTTGAATGAAAAACTTTCATGAAAAATCATAAATTCTGAAAAACGACTTTTTTAGAAATTGCGGAAAATTTTGATCTTTTTTCTGAAGATTTAGATTTTTTTTGAAAATTTTGGAAAAAAATCCCAAATGTAAATTTTTTAAAAAAAACGACTTTGAAAACTGATTTTTTTTAAAAAATTAGAATATTCCTATATTATAAAGTATCATTTTCCAAAAAAAAAATTCCCATTGTTTCTCCCAATTTTTTTATCAACATTTTTTTCCAAAAATTTGATTTTTTCTTTTAAAATTATAAATTTTTGACTTTTTTGAAAATTTTGATTTTTTCTTAAATATTCTGTTTTTTTTTAAATTTTGAAAAAAAAAACTTTTTTTATGAAAAATCATAAATTCTTTAAGAAAAACGACGAAATTGTGGGAAATTTTGATTTTTTTTGAAGATTAGATTTTTTTTGAAAATTTTTGAAAAAACCCAAATTGTAAATTTTTGAAAAAAATTGACTTTTTGAAAACTGATTTTTTTGAAACATTTAGAATCTTCTTATTTTATAAAGAATCAAATTTTATTCAAATTCTGAAAAACTTTAAATTTTTTGATAAGATATTTGTAAAAAAATCGACTTTTTTGAAAAATAGTGTAATTATTAGGTTTTTATTATTTTTATATCAGGAAGTTCATGAAAGGCAAAATGCAACTTACAACTAGATAAAAAATCAATTTTTTTTCCCAAAAAATAAAAAAAAAATAGTTTTTCCTCAAAACTTTTTTTTCCCAAGGACTTAAACATACAATTATTAATTTAATTTATAATAATTTATTAATGTAACAACATAATTATATCACATAGAAGAAGATAAAATAGTAAAAGATATTCGAAACAAAATAAAAAGTTTATTTTGTACTTGAACAATGGAGAGATTATTTGATCATACGACAAATAGACCCGTAACATAGCATTATATTTTATTAACATTTCTATTTAATCCCAAAATTCGGCCCTGTTTTTTTTTAGAATCTACATATCGATATCGATGAAATAAAATTTTAAATATAATTATATGTGTATGAAATGAAATGTGAATGATTGTGATCAAAACTAAGTTTTTTTTTTAAATAGAATTTTATATTAAATATGCACTTGACGCATTTGTTAAAACAAATCTTTATTGTCAAATTTAGATCTCTAATGTTAATTGTGCAAAATACACAAATAGATGAAAGATAATTATAAACACATGATATATATATATATATATATATATATTTCTAGTGTGTTTATAATTTGTTTATAATTAAGTATATCTATATCAAAAGTCTTTGAATTCTTGATGTGTAAATAGAATTAAATTTATTAAAGACACGAGAGCCTTGTAAATGTGGCCTTTGAAATTAATGAAACTAATAAATTATGGCATATATTAAAATGTTACTATAGTTATATATATATATATATATATAAATATAAATAAATATAATTTTTTATATTTTAATTTTGGTTATGTAAAAATTATGTTGCTATTTTTTGACCGTCCAAAAATATGAGAAATTTGGTGTGCGTGGTCAAGATATACATACATATATATATATATATATATATATATATATATATATATGTGTGTATATTAGGGTGGTCCTTAATATGGTCATTTTCGAATTTCCTTGCTCCCAAGGGCTCAAATTGCTTTCAAATTGATAAAAAAACAATTCTCTGGAAGTTTCAGCCCTTAATATTAACATTTAGATAGGCGCAAATATCCATATTAAGGACCACCCTAATAAATAAATATATATATATTATATATATATATATATATATATGTGTATATTAGGGTGGTCCTTAATATGGTCATTTTCGAATTTCCTTGCTCCCAAGGGCTCAAATTGCTTTCAAATTGATAAAAAAACAATTCTCTGGAAGTTTCAGCCCTTAATATTAACATTTAGATAGAGCGCAAATGTCCATATTAAGGACCACCCTAATAAATAAATATATATATATATATATATATATATATATATTATATTTGGAACTGTATCGTGCCCAAAAATTTTTCAAATCTTTAATAAGTTTTTATTAATTTAGGGTTTGCCTAATATTTTTTTTTTTTGAAATTATAGTCCTTCCGGTTAATTTGGAAAATAATTTAATTTAAACAGCTGTCTCATCTGACCATTGAAAAAAAATTTAAATCGAAATGAAAAAAAAAGTTAGATGGCGGAAAATTCAATTATATTTTACGTTAATAGTTATAAAATTATTTGCAAGCACCAATTTTTTTTACAAAATTATGTTTACAGTCAATATTTTTATTTTTAATGATAGATTTTTTTTTTGTTAACGTTTAACATTATATAGGAGTACTTTAGAGATTAATGAACACGATGAACAAAATGTATAGTGCAATCTGAAATTTTATAAAAAATGCTTTCAATAAATTGATTTAATATAATTGCAAAATGTTTATAACAATTACTTGATAATATGATGAATATGATAATATATATACATACATATATATATATATGATAGTTTTGTCGGCGTTGATACATATTTGTAATATTTTTGCAGCCCAATCGTCGAATTAAAAAAAGATTAAATAACAAAATTATTTATTCCATTAAACTTTTCGACACTTGATGTGTGTCATCATTCAGTAATCTAAAAAACATATAACATGAATACAAAGTTGATGATAAATATAAATATATAAAAGGAGGAAATTATACATACCAAACCAGGAAAACATTAATTATGATGTAAAATTGATTGAACAATAAATTTGTGTAAAATAATAATATACTATTATATTAACAAACGAGAAATAGAAGGAGCACATATTGCCCTCCTATATTTTATGTTATAAATAGCGGTGCATTGTGGACACTGATCAAGGTTACAAAGCAAGTGTAGTGAAGGAGTGGATGCAGGGTGTGATAAACGAAAGGGGAAAGAGAAACAGAGAAGAAATATAACGAACAAAAGATTCTAAAACTGTATTGAATTTCTTTTCATGAAATTAATGATTACTTTATAAGTGTCATGTAAGAGATGAGAGAAATTACGTTTGTTTACATATGAAGTATTAAGGGATATAAGTAAAGACTCAACTATCTTTCTAAGGTCACAATTTTTTACAATGTGAAGGATGGAAGGATTTGACATGTTAAAAGTGTGGTTCAAGTTAATCTTATGTTCTGTAAGCATCGTTTTGAATTGATTTGGGTTTTTAGAATTATATATATGTTGATTAACCCTCTTGATAATATTAATAGAAGTAATAAGGGATATAAGTAAAGACTCAACTATCTTTCTCCCAATATATATACAAGAGGGTTAATCAACATATTTATAATTGTAGAAACCCAAATCAATTCAAAACGATGCTTTCTGACATATGATAAACCTGAACCACACTTTTAACATGTCAAATCCTTCCATCCTTTACATTGAAAAAAATTGTGACCTTAGAAAGATAGTTGAGTCTTTACTTTAATACTTCTTGTGTAAACAAACGTAATTCCTCACATCTCTTACATGACAGTTACGAAGTCATCATTAATTTCATGAAAAGTAATTCTATACAGTTTTAGAATCTTTTGTTCATTATAGTTCTTTTCTGTTTCTCTTTCCCCTTTCGTCTCTCACAACCCGCTCGCACTCCTTCACTACACTTGCTTTGTAACCTTGATCAGTGTCCACAATGCACCGCTGTCAATAGCATAAAATACAAGAGCGCAATATGTGCTCCTTCAATTTCTTGTTGTATAGTAAGATATCACGCATATTTACTTTTATCTGATTTTTTTTAATTTCAAACATTTTCAAAAAAATAAAAAATTTCACAATTTTTTCTTGTAACTAAAAATACACGTGATGTTTGCTGGTGTAGTTGGGGTAATCTAAAAATCCTTAAAAAATCGATCACGTGATTAATGGACGCCCCCTAACCATTTATTTTGACCTGGTTCATTTTTGTGCTGATAAAGACTAAAAATTTTATGAAGCTGAAAGTAAGTAGGAAAAAGGGGACAGATGTAATTAACAACTATTTTTAGGTAGAAAAAAAGTTTATTCCATGCTTCAAAAATATTTTTGGTAGAAAATGTTTATGTGTACAAAAGTTAGTTAGTTGCTATTATATTATAATTAATGAAACACCAGTAACAATTAATATGTTCAGACTTCTGTGACTGAAACTTAATATTTTTGAATCAACCAATTGAAAAACTCAGGTTGGTTTTTTATTTCCGTCACGAGCGTCGCCTATAGGCGACCTGTGTGTACGAGTGTCGCTTATACGATACTCAGTCATAGACCTTACACTACATGGACTGCTAGTTGAACGCAAAATAAATGTTTAAGAAGAGATTATGACGTCACATGTCTGAGCGAACATTGCCGACGACAATCGCGGACTCTCCCGATTGATTAAATGTCACATATCATTTGATTTATTTGAATAATATAATGGCAATTGTGTAAGAAATGATAATAATATTTATCATATTTATTAATTTAATTCAAATATCTGTGATAGTTTTATTTTCAATAATATAATGGTAATTGTGAAGGCTGGAAATTTTGTTAGAAGTTAGAGCACTATATATACAACAGAAAACATACGAGGACTAGCAGTCCATGCAGTGCAATGTGTTTAAAGATCACTCAAATAAATTTTTGTACTCTATCAGACTTATAATATTTAAAATCCTAATTATTCATTGAGATCACACAAACAAAGACAAGAAAAAAAACAATACTGAACACAAGGTGAGTGACTTTCTACAATCTTACAATTAAATATCACAAAGTACTAATCACTTGATCCCCGTGCAGGAGGAGCCACTCTATTTATCATACTCCACGTACTCTTCATCATCCCTGGTCATAAAATCGTAGAATTCCTGATCAGTCATCATTCTCGTGTCTTGATACAATGGAAACATCTGCTTCAGTTTAAGACTATTTTGGGACGAGTCGCTGCGCTTCAACCATTCTTGGACGTGATGAAAAGAAGAAGAGGCCGGGGGGCTGGTGACTTCTTTTTTGACAGGTGAGTGGACTGGTGAATTATTATTTGGTTTGGTTGGTGAATGAGAAGGGACTGGTAAGGGATGGGTGAATTATTACTCGGTATGGTTGGTGAATGAGAAGGGATTGTGTTGCATTTATCAGTAGGAGGTTCAAAAACAGGTGATGAGTGGCCTGGTGAATTATTACTTGGTTTCGGTTGTGAATATTCAGAAAGGACTGTGCTGCATTTGTCAGCACGAGGTTCAAAAACAGGTGGTGAGTGGATTGGTGAATTATTACTCGGTTTGTTTGGTAAATATTTGGCAAGGACTGTGCTGCATTTATCAGCACAAGGTTCAAAAACAGGTGGTGAGAGGACTGGTGAATTATTTCTTGGTTTGGTTGGTGAATGAGAAAGGACTGTGCTGCATTTATCAGCACGCGGTTCAGAAACAATTGGTGAGGAGTTAGGGTTGCAGTTTTCTTTACTACCAAGTTGCTTTTTGTTCAATATTGATGAAAGTACTGCATTGCGTCCAAAAGTCGGTAAAGGCTTGATTGGTTTACGCGTGATGCCTCTGCCAATCGATAGACGCGATAAATTCAGAGCCAAATTGGAAACCGAGACACCAGCTTTCTTGTTTTGTTCTTCACATTCTCTGTAGAAGTCTAGTACAGTTAGCTTCGGTTTCGGACGCAAATTCTTCAGGTTCATTTCTTCAGTTTTGTTGCTGCAATCACTAGTGTCTTCGCTTGATTTCGGTGCTCCGCGCCAATTCATATACCCAAAACCAGGAGGAACTGAAGTTCCATTTGTGGATGGTGTTTTCTCTTCACAATTAGCTGTTAAAGTTCCATTTACGGCAGATTCTTTGTAATTTTGTGCCAAATTGGAAATTGAGGCATTGGTTATCTTATTTTGTTCCTCACATTTCTTGTAGAACTCTGACAATGTCACTTTCTCAGTTTTGCTACTGCTGTCGCTGGTGTCTTCACTTGATTTTGGTGCTCTGCGCCAATTCATATACCCAAAACCAGGAGAAACTGAAGTTCCATTTGTGGATGGTGTTTTCTCTTCACAATTTGCTGTTAAAGTTCCATTTATGGCTTTACCATTTTGGCCCAAATTGGAAATTGAGGCATTGGTCATCTTATTTTGTTCCTCACATTTCTTGTAGAACTCTGACAATGTCACTTTCTCAGTTTTGCTACTGCTGTCGCTGGTGTCTTCACTTGATTTTGGTGCTGCACGCCAGCTCATGTACCTAAAATCCGCATCTGGAGTAACTGAAGTTCCATTCAGGGCAAATCTTTTGCCATCACCATCATTATCAGTTGGAGCAGCTCCTAATTTATTTTGGGAGAGGTTTCTACTATCACCATCATTAGCTGTTACAGTAAATGAACTTCCAGTTTCTGGTAATCTTTTATTACCATCATTAGCTGTTGCAGTAAATGAACTTCCACCACCCAAACTTCTATTTGTGCAAGATTTGTTACCATTAGCTACCATAGTTCCATTTGCTGATGATCTTGTGCCATTACAATCACCCTCAGTTGTAGAAACTGAACTTTTACTTCCTGATAATCTATTATTATCACCTTCAGTTGTAGAAACTGAACTTTTACTTCCCGATAATCTATTATTATCACCCTCAGTTGTAGAAACTGAACTTTTACTTCCTGATAATCTATTATTATCACCCTCGGTTGTAGAAACTGAACTTTTACTTCCTGATAATCTATTATTATTACCATCATCAATAGTTGCTGCAACCGACGCTCCATGGGATGGTAAAGGATCATAACTACCCAAAATTCTATTTTCCAAAGATCTTTCATCCGTAACCGACGGTCCATTCCCTGTAGTTCCATTTCGCAAACTCTGTTACCATCTTCCTCCTGAGAAGTGGCAATTTGTTCAAAACTTCCATTATAGTTGCTGCTACCCACAACCGATGATGGTGCTTCATTTTCATCATTATCCCAACTTTCTGTCGGACTTGGTGTGCTGCCAAATTGGTGACCAGTAGTAGCATTTGTTTCAATTGCATCGTGCTCATTTTGATTGGAAGTGTCCCAATTCTGAAATAAAAAAGATGATAAATGAGAAATAAGAAGATGATAAATGATCATGATCTCATGATTTTTGTATTTGTTGTGGTAATAGGTGCTTGGAAGTATGACATGTCTCAATTGCAAGGTTGTAGTGCAAGCAGTGTGTCCTGTAGAACTCTTTGAAAATATTAATCCGCTGAGAGTCATTTCACCTATGGTATGGCATTTAAGGGTAAAATCTTGTTTAGTTCAAAAAGTTGTTAGAAAACTCGTCGATTTTAGTATTTATTGTCATAATAGACACTTTGAAGAATAACATATCGGAATTTCAAGGTTTTAGTACAAGCAATGCATCCCGCAGAGTTAATAATTGCCATTGATGGTACATTTGCCAATAGACATCTTTATAATTTTTAAATTCAGGGCGAAATTTTTGCACTTGTTTCCTAATTCTAAAGAATCGGCTTGTCAGATCATCCCAAAAACTAATCAATGCAAGTCCTTAGTAAATTGAGAAAACGTCGGATAAGATGTCAAATGATTCAGAATGACTTGAATACATAAGTGGGATTTTTTGACATAAATTGTCAACATAAAATAAATTTACCTCTGTGGGTTCTTCTTGGGCAGCTTGCACATTAACTGAATTATCATTATGAGCCACTACTTCTTCTAAAAATTCATCTTGTGTCTGAAAAAATAAAAATATTCAAATAAAAGTACATTCTTGTAGATACATGGTCTCACATACACATCTTATGGCAAAGTCCTAAATATTTCATTGTAATAGCTATTCTCGGTTATTAACTTCAAGCACTTCAAGTGTATAAGTGAGATTTAGAATTAAAATTAAAATGCCAATGATATTCGATATTCAAAAAAAAAATATTTTTTTGATATTGAAAAATTTCTTCTTTTTTTATTTTATGTATTTATGTATTACATGTATTTATTTTTTACCTGAATTTAATAAAAAAAAAAAATCCGAAAAACGTTACAATTTGTTCTTGTAACTAAAAATACACGTAATTTTTGATAAGGAAGGGTAGGGGTCAAAAAAAAACCCTCAAAAATCCGATCACGTAATTAATGGACTAATGGAATGGAAGGTGTTTTGATTCATTCAATTCGGATGCTTCGTTGTCTCTCAAAAACTGCAATTTTTTGCACATTTAGTTCGGTATCTCCAAAACGGCCGGACCTGCCTTTGCCAAAAACTAATCACCATTTTTCCCCTTCATTACGAATTGAATTTTTTTTAAATCATTCAAATCGGTTGATCCGTTCTCTCAAAAACTCGATTTCTATTTTCTGCGCTCTTTGCTCCGTATCTCCGAAACGGCTGGACCTGCCTTTGCCAAAAACTAACCAGCACATCTCCCTTTCAATAGGAATCGAATAGGAAATGAATCATTCAAATCACGGTTGATCCGTGTTCGGAAAATCGTGGACGAAAATTTGTATCCGCACATACACACATCCATTTTTTCTGAGGTATGCCAAAATGTTCAGAAAAGTTTGAAACGTAAATTTATGTAAAATTTTTCTTTTTCGATTTTTTGCGTCTATCAATCACGTGATCGATTTTTTAAGTACTTTTGAACCTTCCTCCTCCTTGATAATATTCAAAATTACCAAATCACCCCTCCCCCTTCCTACACTAAACTTCGTGTATTTTTAGTTACGAGAAAAAATTGTAGAACTTTTGATTTTTTTTTTCAAAATGTTTGGATTTTTTTTAGAAAATTCTTGTCAAAAATAAATACACGTGATATCTTTATATTATATACTATACCCCTTCATCCACCACGTGATATTTCGTAATTTTTTGTCAAATCCCCCCTCACTTCCCCTAAAAACATACATATAATTTTTTCTAAGGTATGCCAAAATGTTCAGAAAGGTTTGAAACGTAAATTTATGTCAAATTTTTCATTTTCGATTTTTTGCGATAAGGGGCGTCCATTAATCACGTGATCGATTTTTTTTAAGTACTTTTGGATCTCCCTCTCCCTTGATAATATTCAAAATTACCAAACACGGTATTGAGGTATTGGCAGTGGATCTTTTCACCCACGAACTTTTAAGCTCCGCTCTCCCCTAATGTTTGTTTTCGATTATATAATTTATTTTTCGCCAGAAGCGAAATTATAAAATATTTTTCAACCGCAAAACAATAAGATAGTCATTCGAAAGTGACAAGTCTTTGAGGTCCCCGACGTAAAAAGCGCGGCTCGCGCTTGAAAATATTTAATATCTTTCGATGTAACAAAGTCTCCAACAAATTGTAAAAAGGATTTTGTTGCAGAGAAAAAAAGAAAAAATATGTTATTTTTTGGAACAATTCAAGTTGGGGTAAGGCTGAGTAAAACCTTTGTAAATATTTAAGGGTTGTTATTGTTAAGCAAATTGCAAAAACAAAAAAAAATAATCATTACAAAGTTCACTTCAATATGAGTGTAATAAAAAAAATAATACTGATCCGATCAGCACATCCGGAGATAATTAATTTACCGCAGATGATGTTCATAGAAATTGAGCAAAAAATCCATATTTCAATCGTAAACATTAACGTAAAAAAATTTTTTTCAGCGTAATCCTGAAATACGCGTCAAATGATTTTATGTATAATATTTATAAAAAAAATTTCAGACAATCTAAAATGTGACATTTTATTTTTTCGAAAATCCGTACGATTTGTAAAAGAATGACCCATATGTAACTATGTTATCCAAAAATAGGTCTACTACATTCACAATCATATTAGGTTGTCAAATATCTCCCTTCCGCTTTTTTGCTCTTGGTTTATAATACAAAAAGGCGGAAGGGAGATATTTGACAACCTAATAATACTAACCTGACTGAAACTATATTCCCTTCTGTTCCTTCTTCTACCAAAAGACTGCAAAAAAAAAATCAAAAACATTAACACATCAAATGTGTCCATTAAGGGGCACAACTAGTGTAACCGCCTAAAAAAAAAGGTGATATTAAAAAAACTATTTTATCAATCACTTCAAAATTTTAGGAATAACTTTATACATGTTTTAAGAATACATAGCAAAATTTTTGAAGAAATAAATTAAATATTTTTTAAGTTATCGTCGATCTCCAACGGCGCGACATAAAAAAGGCCCTTCACTGCTGCAGTGATTCCGGCCTTCTACGTGGATGAAATTAAAAAAAAAAAATCTCGTTAAACTAGATAATATTGTCTGTAAAATGAACTACGATAAAGAACAAAAATAAAAAAATGATAAAATGACGGCGTTTTTTTTTTAAAAAGTCGAATTTTACCCAAAATGTTGGTCGTTTTTGGACTGCCAAAATTCGATTTTTGATCCGATCAAAAAAATCGATAGTTCATTTCACGGAGAACTATATATAGAACATGTAAAAAAAATTTGGTAGTGATCGGATTACTTGTTTTTGAGTAATCGCTGCAGCAAATTCGGAAAATGCTGTTTCGAGAAAAACGCGTTTAAAGATTAAATGATCCTTATACTATATACTATATATATATACTCTTTAAATGGATGTGACTCAAAAACTATTTAATATATCGATTTAAAATTTTGCTATGTTATTTTTAAAGGTATAACCTATCTGGAAATATGGTAAAATTGAAAATTCGATTTTTTGAAAATGTCACACTAGTTACCTTCCTCCTGGTTCTTCGCGCCTCGAGTTTCCATTCCCGAGTGCCGGGAAGAGTCCCTCGTTTTCGATATCAGGAGCATTTTTATTTTTTTTCATATCGGCTCGCAAGTGTTTCGCAAAACTCATGTACCCGGTCTCTTCGTCCATGCCGTCAAAACTCGGGTCATCATCATCATCATCATCATCAACTCCAACATCAGGTTGCAGAGGATTGTTTTCATCTTGTGCAGGTTGAACTGTGTTACCTTGATCTTGTTTTTGGGCGGGTTGAACTGTAGTATTGCTTTGGTTTGTTGCAAGATCTTGGGCGGGTTGTCGTTGGTTCATGAACGGGACGTACATGTCATTGTGGTAGGAGGCACCATTCGTCTAGGTAATGGAATCAAAAAAAAAAATATAATTTTTACTAGATGACCCTGCAGACGTTGTCCAAAAGTGCCAAATTTTTTAGTATCCTATCCCTATACTTTTTAACGTCCCGTAGGGTAGTTATAGTAAAGGGCCGAAAATCGAAAATAAAAATTTTTGCATTTCTCGACAAAGGTTTCTGAACATTTTACTGGCATACCTCAGAAACTAAATGGATGTGTGTGTGTGTGTGTTTTGTATGTCCGCATTTTTTCGTTCACATATTAGGGCGCACGGATCAACCAATTTGAATGGTTCATTTCCTATTCGATTCCTATTGATAGGGAGATGTGCTGATTAGTTTTTGGCAAAGGCAGGTCCAGCCGTTACGGAGATACGGAGCAAAGAGTGCAGAAAATACAAATCGAGTTTTTGAGAGAACGGATCATCCCATTTGTATGTTCCAAAAAACATTCGATTCGTAATGATAGGGAGAATTGGTTAGTTTTTGGCCAAAGTTCTAAACATCACTTATATACTTTAAATAAATAATTTCAACTTTGCATTTCAGTTTATATAATTCTTATAAATATTAGACAATGTTACAATATTTATAATAATCTATTTGAAAACATTCAGTATTCCTCGAACATTTCGTTACGGTACGGGAAGTTCCGGCAATTTTCCTTAAGGCACGATACCATACACCACTAGTTTAAATTGAATTGACCAAATTTTTTTTAGAAATACTTCTTAGACATAAACAACGCTTCCCGGGCTAGCTAGTATATATATATATATATATATATATATATATATATAAATGGAGCTGATTCAGTAAAACTCGAAAACGGCTAAACCGATTTGGCCAGTCTTAGTGTTGAAAAATTCGTGCTAATCAGTAGGTTGTCGGAAAGGTGAGATATTATTTCAAAATCGCGTAGAAACTTTACATTTTCAATTTGAAATTTTTTGTAAAAGCGTAATTTGAATAAAACAATGTACGGTGGCTAATACGTCAAATGTCGAACGTTTTTGACAGATGATGTTCAATTACGTTTAATAGGATGTTTTACGTGAATATTATTTAATTATGATTAAATTGTAATAAGTAATTTTGTTTGTAGTTTTATTTATAATAATATCACTTTTTTTGATATGTTAATATGAAAATGCATTTTTGGCATATTTTTCTCAAACACGGTGCTCTGAAAGATCTCATTTGTATAATTATATACTCATTGGTACTTATGAAACATTTTCTAGGTTATATTATTTTTTATTTATGTTATTTAAATTCAGAAACTAAATTTGGTATTGATCAAATAGACATTTTGCCGAATAACATTTTCCCAGTTATAATTTCCCAGAATTTATCGAAGAATAGATAGAAATATATCAAAGTCCAGGGTTAAAAAAGTCCAACAGCAATGTGTCAAAAATCAGTAAAGTTAAGCATTGTTTAACAACAATATTTGAAAGTAGAGGGAAAAAGATGTATAACCAGCTATAACTTTGATTCTTGTGACTTTGCTATTGGGAGATAAACGGTCATCTTTGAAAATCCATAATAAAAGTATTTTCTTCCGTTGGTAGTTTTTAAGCATTAGTTAAAAATGCAATTGTTTTGTAAAAAACCTTTAGAATTATAATAAGGCTTTAAACCTTTTTGCCACCTGGCCGTTCAAAGTTACCCCGCCTACAGGGTAAAAAGGTCTAGATAACAATTTTTTGTAAGACAGCAAAAGAGCACATTTCTACAATGATGAAGTAGCTGACAGTTTTACTGAACATAGTCAGATAATTGTTCGTTTGAAATGTGTTATTTGTTGTGATATAATTGGTGTGATTTTTATAATATAATTAATATTTGCTCAAAGTCAAATTGGACCTTTGTGCCTCGCCCTGCTCTACATATATACTTTTTTATCAAATTTTGTATAAGTTCAGTAGTATTATTTACAATTATACATAAAATCCAGAAACCAAAAAGAATCTGAAAAACTTGAAACGTAAACAATAAGTCGAAGGACCAAAAAAGACTTGGATTGGATTATAATATGTTTTCTATATAAAGTGTATAAAACTTCCAGTTTGATTGTATTGACAAAATATAGACAAACTAATGGGGTTTATTGTTTTTATAATACCTCATTGTATATAGCATTGAAACAAACACATCCTTATACACTTAAAGTATTAATATTTTTGATTCTCTAGAAATTGTTAAGAATATACCTTACTTAGCAAAACAACGTTTGCCGGGCCAGCTAGTATATATATATATATATATATATATATATATACTTATAAGGATTTGTTTTTTACTTACATCTCTTAGCATTGTAGTAATCTCAAATCTAACTTGATTATCGAGCCTCCCAAGTCTATCCAAATCGGGTTCTTCAACAGGAGAACCCTCATTAGATATATTATAAGCATAGTACTTTTGTTCAGCCATTTTGTAAAAATGATCTAAAAACAAAACACATCACATTTATCAATTACTATAATATAAAAATATGTTGTTTTATTTTAAGGTTATGTCCGAGTTCTCACCTTCGAAATGTTTGATCTATTATAAAAACAGGCTACATTAAATTCCACAACCGCGTTTTGCTGATATTTATAAATTTTCGTTATCTCGGTCAACTTTTATACGAATTGCAAATTCTGCATTTTCAGTGAAACTAAACGATATAAACAAATTTGACAAGTGACGATCGCAACATGTTTTGTAGTGGGGGTAATGTGAGCGGAATAAAGTCGATGTTAAAATTTTTGTTAGTCGAGATCGAAACCTAGGTTTGAGTCATAGATAAACTAGTGGGGCGCATGGCATCGTGCCTTAAGGCAAATTGCTGGAACTTCCCGTACCACAAATTATTTGATTCTGAAAAGATTAACATTTTTGAAATAAATTCACTCTGAAAAAATTAGATTTTTGAGAAACTATAAATTTTTTGAAGAAATAAATATAAATTTCAATATAAATTTTTTTAACTTTTTGAAGAAAATTTATTTTGAAATATTTTGGAAATTCTGAATATTTTTTCAAAGCAATCGTGCTGCTTTAACTGCATAGAGACGAAATATCGAAGCGCGTAAGCGCCGCGTTGCCGTCTAACGGATAAACACTGGTACGGAACCCATAGGAATGTAAACAAAATTTATACTTATTGTTAAAATCTCTATAAAATATCTGATAATTTGATGTGCATATGTCTAATGATCATTTTTGACCGCCAAATGGCATGTTTTTTACTTTTTTCATTAGATCTTCGAAACGCTAGACCTGCCTTTATGAAAATTTGATCAATTCTTCATCTTGTCAATACAAGTAAAATGTTTTTTGAATTCAAATCGGACGCTCCGTTCTCTTAAAAACTGAGTTACCGTTTTTGGCACTTTTTGCCCCGTATCTTCGGAACGGCTAGACCTGCTTTTACCAAAAACTAATCAGTACGTCTCTTATCAATACGAATCGAATGTTTTTTGAATTATTCAAATCGGTTGATCGGTGTTCCCGAAATCGTCGACGAAAATTTGTATCCGCACACACACACATACACACACACATACATCAATTTTTTCTAAGGTATGCCAAAATATTCAGAAGGTTTTGAAACGTAAAGATATATAAAAATTTTCATTTTCGATTTTTTGCGATTACTATAACTTGCCCTACGGGAAGTTAATAATATTAATAATAATAATAACAATAACATAAGACTTAAATTTGTTAAAATATAATAAAATAACCTAAAATTTGTTAAATAAAATAATTATATTGTAAAAGTGTTGTAAAGATTATTAAAATACTTAGTAATTTTTTTATAAAAATACTTGCAACAAACAAACTAGTTATATTTAAAAATAATTAAAATTAACTAAATATAAATAAGTTTATAGTAAATAAATTGAATAATAAATAAATAAGTAATAAAATAGCTAATAATTAATTTAATTATATTAAGCCTATAAAATATTGACTTAAGCCTTATTATAATATTATTATACTGACGGCTTGTAAAATAAATAAATAAATAAATAAATAAATATGGCCTGATTTTGCTTTGAGCTTAAAAAAATGTTCAAAATCTTCAAAAAAATCAAAATACAAAAGAAGTCAAAACAAGAACAAATTAAATCTTGAAAAAAGTCGATTTTTTTCAAAAATTTAAAATCTCTCAATTTTTTTTTAAAGTTTTGCAAAGTTGTTTTTAACTTCTCGTAGAAACTTCCGAAAATCGAAATTGAAAATTTTTACATTTCTCGACGTTTTGAAGGTTTCTGAACATTTTACTGGCATACCTCAGAAAAAATTGAAGCGTGTGTTGATAGGGAGATGTGCTGATTAGTTTTTGACAAAGGCAAGTCTAGCCGTTACGGAGATACGGAGCAAAGAGTGCAGAAAATAGTTTTTGAGTTTTTGAGAGAACGGATCATCCGATTTGTATGATCCAAAAAACATTCAGTTCGTAATGACGGGGAAAAGTGGTTATTAGTTTTTGGCAAAGGTAGGCCCAGCGGTTTCGGAGATACAGAGCTAAATGTTTAAAAAAATGGCAGTTTTTGAGAGAACTAAGCGTCAGATTTAAATGATTCAAAGAACTTTCTGCTTGTTTTTACAAAATAATTGCCATCGAAAAAAAAATTGTTTCAATTTTTTTTTCAATTTTTTTTTTTGTAATTTTGGATTAAGAATTCAAAAAATCACACATGCTAAGCACAGTCGAAGCGCCACTCTGGTACAAATGTTTACCCAAGTGCGTTTAGACTGTTTATGTATGCAGCACTTTTCCAATTTTGTGAAAACTATTGAAAAATGTGAAAATGCCGCCAAGCAAAGCACAGTATAAGTGAAAATGTCGCACAGAATTATTTGCAAATGCGTTTAGACTGTGACTGTACGGGAGCACTTTTTTGAATTTTGTGTAAATCAGGCAACTATTTTTTTTTTAAATTGAATTCGAAATGAAATGACGATTGTTAATGTTCTGGGGATAAATTGATTTATGATTTACATTTATGATTTGCTCACTCATATATAACAAGATAGCAAAAATAATGAGAGTTATAGTATTTGTAATAATATATTTGGAAACGTTTAAAATTTATCGAATATTTCATTACGGTACGGGAAGTTCCAGCAATTTGCCTTAAGGCACGATGCCATACACCACAAGTTAATAATCTAGTTTTCGATACGGAAAGTTCCAGCAATTTGCCTAAGGCACGTTGCAACCACCACTAATCTGTTTCATCAGACATTACATTTACAAATTCAAATACCAACGGCTAAAATCCCCACTAATCCACTTCCACCTCTGGCAACACTTCAACCTTAACTCGTGCCCTCGTCAACTTCACGCGGCAGTTGCGTTTCGACTTTCAACGTTACGGCATGTCTTCGGCGAATGTCATTTGGTAATTTGCGTGCGTGTGAAAACATTTTGTAATAGACAATAAAAAAACAACTAGGCACTCGTTTTACAGTTAATCGGATTCCATTTATAGTGTTAATGGTTACAACAAATGGTTTATTAATACGATGATTTATTAATACGGACAATGTTTGTTGTCGTCGTCGTCGACGGTGGTGATACTGATACAGTTCTATGGTGAAAACAATGACAGAAGTTCGAGACACTTTACCGAAGTCGGGACGTGTTAATGAAGGTTAGTAAAGGAATTATGTTTGTATTATTAATTGTTATTTATTAATGGTTTGTGTGTTTGTATGGTGTGTGGTTTATTTGGTTTGATTTGGTTTTTGGATGTCTTGTGCAAATGTTGTGACGAACATATGTCAACATTAGTGTTTGCATAAGCTTAATGGTCGTTATTAATTTACAATTTAGCGAAAGGAAATTTAAGTTTTGCTTCTAATATTGTACAGGTTAATTGAAGTATAATGTGGTTTCAATTGTCATTTTTAATTTGCTTCAGTTATTTAGCTTTTGTTTATAAAGTGACATGCGTAAATAATCGGTTTAATCAATAAGTAATCAATATATTAATTAACTTTTTGTTGGGTAAATTATAGTAATCGCAAAAAAATCGAAAATGAAATTTTTATATAAATTTATGTTTCAGAGGTTTCTGAACATTTCGGCATACCTTAGAAAAAATTGATGTATCTGCATGTGTATGTATGTATGTATGTGTGTGCGTATGTGTGTGTGTGTGAGTGCGGATACAAATTTTTGTCGACGATTTCGGGAACGCGGATCAACCGATTTGAATGATTCAAAAAACATTCGATTCGTATTAATAAGGAGACGTGCTGTTTAGTTTTTGGCAAAGACAGGTCTAGCCGTTCCGAAGATATGGGGCAAAAAGTGCCAAAAATGATATCGCAGTTTTTAAGAGAACGGAACGTCCGATTTAAATGTTTCAAAACGCATTTTATTTGCATTGACAAAATGAAGAACTGATGAAATTTTTGGGAAGGCAGGTCTAGCGGTTTCGGCGAGCTAGTAAAAAAAGTGACAAAAAATGCCATTTCACGGACCAAAATGATCATTAGACATATGTACATCAAATTACCACATATTTTATAAATATTTTAATAATAACAGATTTGTTCACTTTTCTATGAATTCCGTACCAATGTTTATCCGTTAAACAGCGTCGAGGCGCGTACGCGCTTCGATATTTTGTTTCTACGCAGTTAACGTTTCGCGAATGCTTTGAAAAACAGTTCAAAATTTTCAAAATATTTCAAAATTTGAAAAAATCAAGGTTTTCAAAAAGATCAATTCTTCGCAAAAGTTTGAAAAATATCAAAAATCGATTTTTTGAGAGTTCTAAAAAAAAATTGAATCTTTTTTTTAAAAATTGTAGTTTTTGGTATGAGAAGTACCAGCAATTTGCCTCAAGGCACAATGCCACGCACCACTAGTTCTGAGTTGCTGTATGGTTCATAATGTGAAAAACTATTTGCAGATTATTTAATTTTGAGTATATTTTTATAATTGAACCACTTTTCGTAGGCCTATAATACTTTACTTTAGTATGTTCATTAGAACCATGAATTTTATCTCCATCCAAAGATTTATTAAAAATAATGCCCTATTTTTCTTTCAAAATAAGTAAGCTTAAGAATCAAGGCAAATTAATAAATTTAGTTAATTAAATGTCCTGAAATTTGTTTTTCATATATAATATATACACAAATTTCATGTAACGAAGTTATTTACGAGCATTTGATGATTCATCTCATCATCAGAGTAAAAAATTAACACTTCATGTAAATGAACAAATAATTGAAATATTAGTTTGATTAATATATTTTTTAATTGCCCATTAAAATTTGATGATTACTTGTTAACATTTTGCGGCAATAATAATAGGAATTTGAAAAATTAACAATTTACACGTTTTTTACATTATTTCCACTGGTAATACAAAATACAAATATATAACTTACCAAAAGGTATGAAACTTCCTATCTTCCACCGCACGATTAATTAATTAATTATTTAACAAAAGTTTAATAATTATTCTCCTAAATTAATCTATATCAAAATTCCCAATATTACTTTTGTAGATGGTTTTTTGTTCACGACAAAATCTATACAGTACTTTGTTTATAGCAACCTTGATAATTATTTAGTTGCTAATTATTAAACAA